TTTTCCCCCCCCGGGAGAGAGAGGGGGGGGGAGCCACCCCTGAGCCGGTGAGATTTGAACAGCCGAACTGCAGAACTGCAATCAGCTGAAGTAGCCTGCAGTGTGCATTTAACCACTGCGCCACCTCGGCATTGGGAGAAACATCTATTGAAGCCAGAGGCTGCCTCACATAGAGCCAGGCCAGGCATGTCTTGTTGGCAGTGGGACTAAGACAGTGAAGGCCAGCTGGGCATGGCAGGGCCTGAAGAGCACAGAGTGACAGGGATAGCTGAGGCTTTGTAAAATATGGTGCTGGGTTGGTCAAGGAAGGGCTCTTTCCCTTGGTACCCCTTTTTGATGAAAGGGTACTTCATTCTTTTTCCACTTTGAAGAAAAATACAACTCCAAAGATATAAAGCCTTCAGTTGCATGATTTCTTTAAAAAATAATTAGATTCTGCTGCTTCAGAAGCTGTACTATCATCACTGAGATTTTTCGTTATTTAACTAAGCTTTTTGTAACGTTGCTTTATACTTAATTAAAAAAATAAAATACAGCATAAGTAAAATACTACTGCCATTCATTTTTAGGCATCTGCTCATAGGAGGAAAGCTATTTCAGAAGCAGAGTCCAGAATCTTCTGGCTAGGATTAATCACGTGTCCTTTACTCTGGGTGATTTTTGCCTTCACTGCCCTGTTTTCTTTCAAAGTTAAGTGGCTGGTGAGTAAAATGCCCAGTTGTCTCCTGCTAAGCTCATTCTTGGGGCACAGGGAGGCCTTGCTTCTCTCACATATCTTCCTCTCCTTTTATAGGCAGTGGTAATTATGGGTGTAGCATTGCAAGGAGCTAATCTTTATGGCTATATTCGGTGCAAAGTGGGTAGCAGGAAGAACCTGACCAGCGCAGCAACTTTCTACTTGGGAAGGCAGTTCCTGCGGCAGGTACATCGGAATTTTATTTATGCAACTCTCTCTCCCCTCTCCAGCATTTGCCTTGGTGCTTACCTAGCTCTTCATTTCCTTATTTTGCTACTTTTTGTAAGCCTAGAGATTTAAAGAATTAAAGGTCCAAGAATGGCTTCTTCAGGTTCTGTTACAACTGAGATGGGTGCTTGTTTCAGTTGTATGCATTACAGCACTGCCTTGGCCTGTTGAGGAAAGATGTCACATAAGCTTTCACAGTGCTCTCTCCTGCTAATTTGAATACATATGACTTAACTTTGAGAAACCTGACTTTGAGGGTCTGAAGTTTAGGCCAGCGGTCTCCAATTTTTCTGGCTTGGTGGAGTGTCAGAGGGAGAAGAGGGGATGGTTGCGCGTGAGCAGCAGGTGAATGCACAGTTCCATTTGCGCAAGCAGCAGGTGTGGAGTTGCATTCATGCTCACCACCACTTCCGTAGCCCAGTTCTGAATGGACCATGGCCTAGTAGTGGACTGCAGCCCAGAGATTGGGGACCCCTAGCTTATACATTCCTCATGACTTTAATAACCATTCTTGCTCCATTTAACCTTTTTAAGAGACAATGTTTAGATGGTATTGTTTCCTTGAAAAAACTCTGCTTTGCTAATAGCCTTTTCTAGGCAATGTCCAGTAATTGTATCAGTGGTGGGATTCAAATTTTTTTACTACCGGTTCTGTAGGTGTGGCTTGATGGCATGGCTTGATGGGCATGGCAGGGGAAGGTTACTGCAAAATCCCCATTCCCTCCCAATCAGGTGGGACTCAAAATTTCTGCTACTGGTTCTCCGGAACTGGTCAGAACCTGCTGAATACCACCTCTGCATTGTATCTGCCCACAGAAAGTGGTACAGAGCATATTTTTTGCAGAATTGGGGCAAGTGCAGCTTACAAGACTTTTTTTTCAAGAGTTTAACTATAGTCAGTATAAGTCCTGATCTAATGCTATTTACATTTTTTTTACAGACCACGCCCAAGGACGACCAAACTGTATCTTGAGCTTCATGAAGAAACACTACCTGCCATTTCCAGTCTTTAAGGAGAATGGGGCGGGGGGGGGGTGTGAACACTATTTCTTGGGCTCTGTACAGGAAATTTATAATTGTGTATGGCTTTTTGTAATTAAATATCTCATAGAAGTGTTAATTGTTACCATTTCTTACAACGTAGATTTTACAGAGCTCTTCTTAACTCAACTGACTGCTGGACTCTTTAATTAATTAAATAATTAATTCTCCACTTAGAAGTAGGTTAAAAAAATAGTGATGACATCTGTGACTATTTATAACGTTGCATTCCGGAAATAGCCTAAACTGTCCCCAAGAACTTTGAAGTCAAATATTTTTGCTGTTTCAAAACCAGCTTGTTCAAGAAGTCTCATGATGAGGACTTGAGCAACCTTTCCTCACATGAGAACTATGGAATATAACCTTTAATACACGATTTAATGTCTACATTATTGCAAGATCAGGTATTTTTAAGCAGGTATTTTAGATCTGAATTAGATAATTTGGACAATTGGATAATTTCAGCTAAAGATCAGGAATTGAGAGGAAGAACTAAGGGTTCCAGTTTCACAATCAGAATGGAAAAATACTGATGCCTGTTGATTGGCAAAAATTAACTTTCTTGTTTGGTTTTGATCTGAGCCTTCTTGGTTATTGAGATTTCCCGAGAAGCAAGGGCAAGTTCTGTTCAGCTTACTATCTGAGTAAAAGAGAATTCTCAGGCTACAACTATGGTAGCCTACAAGGATATAGATCTCAATTCATAGCATCCTATAGAGAGAAGAAGGATTTGAGTATGCTCCTTTGTGCCACTTAACAAGTTACTGATAATTATAGAACAACTCTTCTGAAATTGCTAGTATCAATTCATAATGAACCCAAACAAGCAACTTCAGAACTGGTGAAATAAGAGATTGAGCTATTTAGGGGGCTCATGTTACTAGAAAAATCAGGCCAGGTAATCCACTGGAATGATTTAAGTCAGGCGTACCCAATTCCCGGGTCGTGGTCCACTACTGGGCCATGAACTATTTGGAACCAGGCTGTGTGAGCAGTGGGCTGGCATGCCTGCATGTGGGTGCAGCTTGAGTTGTGCAAGTGGTGGGCCAGCGCATGTGCACATGTGTGCGCAGCTCGACTTGCGCAAATCAAGCTGCATGAACATGTGCATTGGCCTACCACTTTGGTGGACAGTTCCCCTCTTCCCCCCTCCAGCCAGGCCACCAAGCTGCAAAAGTTGGGGACTACTGATTTAGCCCATCTGCAAATATATCTTTACAAGTGTAAGCAAAGCTTCAGTGAATTTAGATGCTACTAAGAATGTGGTAGATTTCTACAAACTGTCCTGCTTTGAATAGAGAGTTCTATGCACAGGGCCTAGCTTGTCACAAGCACTGTGTTGCTTTTCAAAAATCAGAAAGTTTATTGAGTTACTACTGTTTACTGGATGGACATCCAATTCTTCATTTCAAACATGATCAATTTGTATATTTCTCAAGATGCTTAAACAGGAGTTAAAGTTGTGTTACAGTTACTGTTCAGATAGTTTATAAGTTAAGCTTAGGAAAGAAGTATTGATTATAAGCAAACTTAATGTAAGCCTAATGGTGATTTATTGTTCATTTTTAAAAGGAAAAGCAGTTGGCAAGTTTCTATATGAATGGTGATAGTTAATGTTCATATTTGGATATGAAAAGTGAAGGTTCTTGGAATACAGAAATAATGTATTTAAAATCTCTTGTTTTGCATCGTGCATGTTTGTGGACCTTTCAAATTAACCTGTTTTTCAAAGAAATATATTTTTTTAAAGCTGTGAAATTGTGAATGGGTTTGATTTAGTGTGCCAATATCATGTGTCTCGGGTGATACACTATAGTCATGTCAATTAACAAGCTTACGTCTTGAAATTACTCTCATATAGTCCTCCCTCTTTGCCTTTGCTTCCCTTGCCTTTTTGAGCTCTGCCCGTTTCACAACTGCATTCTCTGGGAAAGCAGCTGCAGTAGTTTCGGAGATGCACAAGTCTATTTCTAAGTGCATTATTAAGAATTTTGTGAATCAACTTGAGCTTTATCTCCTTAGCTGGACATTGCAACCATCTAGCTGAGCACTTTGGTTGCTGGCATTCCTCAGTGATGTATTCAGTGGCCTCGGTTACCCAAATAGTGAACACTACTGTAAAACGACTTAAGATTGCAAATTCATTTTTCCACTAACTACCATATTCTAATAATGTTACCTGAAAAGAGTCACAACAGATTGAATATCATAAAGACAATATTCATACGACTGCAAATGTAATGTTTCTAGGAAAACTTTTCACCCATTTAACTGAGAAAGTAAGTTAGTGTTGTGCCTACATGGGTGTGAATCACATCACCTTTGGGATGTTTTGTTTCTGCTTATACTGTATCAACAGTATTCAAGCTTTAAAGTAACAATGTACATAAGCTGCGATTCTTGAGAATCTCCCAGTTTTGTCGGGTTTTTTGCTTCCTATATTTCCTATCATCTCTTCTCACTCATCAATCTTTCTGGACTTTGCATTTCTAAAGTTTAACATAATTTCTTCTTAAAACCCTTATTCTGCTATATGAAGTCATCTAATAAATCAAATAACTTTCTTTTCATTGCTGAACCTTTCCCAGCAAGTTTTCACATAGCACACTGAATTACTGGCAAATTCCCCAATAGTTGTAAGACGTGAAGGACCATGCTGAACTAGCAAGATGGGTGTATATAAATCTAATAAACAAATAAACTATCATCCTATATACCAAACTTGCCCATCAGATGCCAAGCAAATATCCATCAAATAATTGTCAGATTTCAGCCAAATCTGGTTTAGAGAGCAGACTGCCTCTTTTCACATAATAAATGCATAGCTATCAGCCATTGATAACCTTATAATGTATAAATCTATCCAATTGCTTTTAAAGTTAATTAACTTTCCAGCTGTATTATATGCTAGTAAATTGCATAAATGTTTGTAGAATGTTTTATTCTGTTATGATTCTTCCACATTTTAGATTTATGGAATGAATCAATTGTTATATTAAATGAAAAAACCTGAAAGTCTGCTTGTCTAAATTTACACTGTAATTATATCTTCTTCAAAGTTAATCTGGTTGATCGCCAAAATCTCAGCCAAATGAGATCTGACTTTAACTTACAAGGGAGACCCCACCCCCAGGAAATAATAGAGATGTTGGCTACATTAGGATATCAACAATAACAACAAACAATATTTTGAATTTTTGCTTCCATTTGTTGCTAGGAAAACTATGTGGATGGTTTTTACCCATGAAGTCACTTAGTCAAGTTTGAGTTGAATTTTTTCTCACTACCTCCTGCTTTACCTTTCATTTCTATGTAAAAAAGCTTGAACATTGTCATCTTCCTTTCCTCTTAAGTAATCTGTTCCAACCTCACAATCATTTTCTACACCTTCACCAATAATCCTTTAGCAGAGAGACTGAGGATTGGCAGATAGTATTCCAAAGATAATTGCACCTGGAAAGTATACAAAGGCATTGCAAAATGAGCAGTTTTGTTTAAAGTGCCTTTCTTACTTACTTAATTAGAAGGCAAAGCTGTGCTTCTTTTCAACTATAATTGTTGCTTTGCTTTAATTCTTACTTTTGGAAATTTTTCAAGATTAGTATTTGTTTGTGTTTCCTGAACACAGACTATTGCCTTCCCTGATGGTTCACCACATTTTCCACTAAGTATGGGTAGCATTTTTCATTCTGGCTGTTTCTAGATGGACATCTTAATATATAGTGTATGCTTCCCTCAGTACAGCTATTTCCTGAAGCATCCAGACAGCCTTATTCTTCCGTCAACATCCCAACACACTATCTTCTTTCTGTTCTGGGACAATCTTTTCAGATAGATAGCCCTGAAACAAGCGCGTATGTCCGAAATGCTAGTCATGCCATACATCTCTCTTTATAAGATGGAGTTAGGAAATTAATTTCAGCAGTGATACCGTGATATTTTGCCCCAGTCTCTGAGAATTCTGGTTCTTTTCGATATGTGTGCAAATGTTTCAAATTTTAAATCATTTAGGAAGTAAGGTTTGTAGCTGTTTTGTTCACTTTCAGAAAAAAAAAATCTTTTGTATGCATAAAGGTGAGATAGCTATTTACAAATGAATATTTAAAAACATTTTTGTATTGACTGTACAACTGCACTTTCTGAACTAGATGTGTGAAAACCTCCACCTTGTTTTTCTTTGAATATAAGGGAAATTTCCCTAAATAACCCCAGTCATTATGGCAAATGGCAAGGCAATGTAGAAGCTACAGTTCAAAGTTTCTAGAGGGCATCCATTTGCCAGAATATTCCTATTATAGTCCGTTCTCAGAATATATCTACTTGTTGGATTCACAGTGATCAAATTTGTCCATTGACTTTTCCCTGATTTCTCTTAAGAAATTGGTTTGGTAGCTGTGCTGAGAATTCTCTGTTAACAGAAGGTATGGTTTCCTGGTAAAGTCCAGTTCTTCAATTTGTGATATACTATCTAGTAAAGGTAAAGGTTTCCCCTGTCCAACTCTAGGGGACGATGCTCATCTCTGTTTCTTAAACAAGGGAGCCAGTGTTGTCTGAAGTAACTTCTGTAGTTATGTGACCAGCATGACTATTCGCTGAGGCACACAGAATGCTGTTACCTTGCCACCTAAGTGGTACTTATTTATCTACTTGCATTTGCATGCTTTTGAACTGCTAGGTGGGCAGGAGCTGAGGCAAGTAACAGGAGCTTGCCCCATTGTGCAGCACTCTGGTCTTGAACCCAGGTTGTCAGCTTGCCAGCTAACAAGCTCAGTGTCTTTAACCACTGAGCCATCACATCCTCTATTCCAGGGGTATCAAATTCTTTTTCATTCAGGGCCACATTAAGGTTGTGTTGGATGTGGCCAGGGTGGGCATGACCAGCTCAACATCCTGCGACCTTCTGCCAGTGAAAATGGAGCCCAGGAAGACCGCACATGTTTTCATTCGCAGAGGGCTGCAGGAGGCTGTCATAGCCAAAAACAGCTTGGGAGGGCATAGGCACCACCAGTTCTTTGCTGTTTCCAGGGTGCCCCCATGGGGCAGATCTAAGTTTGACATCCCTGATTTATTCTATCTAGTATTGGAGAGGGGGAGGGGAATATTGTAGAACTTTTTCATCTTATGTCTTGCTGTGACCTAGATTTTGAAAAAATGTGGCTGAGAAGAACAAAAAGTTTTATTTCCAACCACCTGCTTTTTCTTAGCTGGGAAGGATAATCAGCCCTGGAAGCCTTCAACGAAGTTCCACCAGTTGCCCCTCTACAATTTTTTTTTAAAGCAATCCTTCCTATCATTGGCTGTTGAAGATGTAGAATTCTGGATTGGCCTCAGGCAGAGGCTGGTGTTTGAAAATGAATTGGCAGATTAAATTCATTTAATGGAGCCTAGTTCTTGAGATGGAACTGCAAATTGGCAAGGTGACCCTGAAACCCTGAGGAATTTAAGCAGCTGTAAACTACTGCATAGATACTATGTTTATATTCCATTTAAGAATTGATGTATATAAATTAAGTTGATAGCACTTCTGGTAAATTTGATATCAGATTAGCAAACACTTCCATGATGGGGCTGAAGCTGCTAAATTTAAAGGTAAAGGTAAAGGTTCCCTTCACACATATGTGCTAGTTGTTTCCAGCTCTAGGGGGCGGTGCTCATCTGTTTCAAAGCTGAAGAGCCAGCGTCTCCGTGGTCATGTGGCCGGCATGACTAAACGCCGAAGGCGCACGGAACGCTGTTACCTTCCCACCAAAG